TTTTTCCCCCCCCCCCCCCCCCAGGGCTGCAGTGGGAAGGGTTGGGTGCATGGCAGTGATTTGTCCAGGCATGGCAGTTGCAGCTCTGACAAGGCACTTGTGCATTACAGGAAACTGATGTAAAACCAGTATCTTGATACTGGCTGTCTGAAATAGATTTCTCAGTCATGTAAAATGTAACGTGGATGTTTTTCTCCGAAGTTTCTTTAGACTTTGTATTCCGTGTTGTTTTTTAAATCTAAAAAGAAATTTAAATGATTTTAAATTAAGATAAAATATTTGAAATGAAAAAATATAAAGATTATAAACATTGTAATGCCATTTTAATGACTTGTTGATTTTGTCTGCATCATTTTGGGGTCACAAAAAATTTCCAGTGTTTAAATGGGGTCATACTGAGGAAAAAGTTGAGGAGCTCGGCTCTAGATGAACCAGTAGCCAAAGCCATCTCTGTTGCTCGGTCAATGATGGCCTCCTGGACAGCCACGTGAGGGAGGTCTGTGGGAAATATCTGGGGCCAGGAACAAGGGAGCAAGCAAGAAGGTGTGTGCCTTAGCTAGATGGTCACTGGCCTGGAAGGAAAGGGGGCTTTGCCCCAGTGGGGCATAAGTTTCCTGTTACACTGCCCTCATCCACTGTTTGCAGGGACTCTATTAGTGGGTCAGCTTTGAAAGGTATGCCAGAGAAGGGTGAGGCTAATGACTGACCTGTGGTGGGGTCATCAATTATTTTTTAACAGGAAAAAGAATATACATAAACAAAATGGAGAGTTTGTTTTTTCTCCAGAACCATGTGGAAGAGGAATGAGACAGACAATAGCAATACAAGGAGAAAGCCCCTGAACAAGGATGTGGTATCAGGATGTGACCAAAAGAAACTATGTTAAATGTGGACAGTGACAATGTGGAATCTGTCACACAAGAGCATTTCTCTTTGCCAAGCAATCATTACATGTTGTTGTTAGAAGTCTATATATGCCCCTTTCTGTGAATTTAAAGAGGACCTTCCCTTCCAGTAAATTACAGCTTACATCTGGCTGGTGAGCAAGTCTGTAACCCATGTTTTCCTACAGTCTGGCTCTCTTTTTCTCCATCTTGCCTGAACACTGAATGTACAGAAGCTTAGACAGCAACTAGACTGCTTGAGTTGTTGGTATAGAAACAAACCTACAGATTTGCAATCCAGAAAATGTAACAACATATTAGAAGAAATGTGGAGGTCTGGGAAATAACCCAAATTGAAGACAAATCTCAGTGATATATTCTGAATTTATGCGGGGATTTTAAATGTATTTGTTCATAAGGATAGCAAAGAAGTCCCTTAGAAACATTTTCTTTTTAAGCAGATCCAAGAGAGATTTTTCTAAAGAGAGAGAACTTCAAAAATTATATGCTTGTTTGTGGTTTTATTTTTATTCATATAAGAGACTCATTTATTACTGTTTGAAATTAATGTCTTGGCCCAATATTGGTTCAGGTCCAAGTCCATGAACATGAACATGAACATGAACAAGAAGGAGACTGATGAACATTTTAAGAAGCCAGACACTGTTGAAATGATCAGAGAACATCCATGCATTCCAATATCTTTACTTTTTCAATCTGACCCAAGCTAGGGGTAATAAAACATCCATTCTGCTTCTATAGGTCAATCTTTAATTTCCCTTGCTACTACATACATCAAAAAAATCCATCCCTTATCCAAACCAAAAATAGAGTTAATATAGATGACAGGGTTATAAGTAGAATGTGTAGCTTGCATTAGACTTATATGACGTACTTATGGAAAGGCCCACTGTAATATTGCAGTCCATATGAATATAAAAGGAGCTATAGAAGTATGCCAGACATCATGTTCATTTTATGTAGTCATTTTAGTTCCAGTAAAGAATGGCAAATCATACTGTACAGTAACTAGATAGAGAAAGGAGAGAGAAAGAACAGATTCTGCAGCAGCATGAATTACCTTGCTACAGGGGAAGCCTGAGATGCAGTCTGTGGTTCTATATCTGCAGATGAAGATCATTTGTAGGGTGTTATTGCTGGGAACTCAAATGATAAGTAGTTGGCAGTCACCTTTTGGAAGAAGTTAGCTGAGTTCCCAGTTCCTTGGACAGGTCAGTATCGACCTGGAAATATGCGGGCAGTTGAGTCCCACAAGGCTCGGTACTTGGATCCGTGCTGTTCAATGTCTTTATCAGTGACTTGGATGAGGGCATGGAGAGCACTTTTTCCACATTCAAACATGATACTACAGATGATTATCGGGTAAAGTTAACACACCAGAGGGTAGGGAATGAATCCAGAGGGATCTGGACAGTTTGGGAAAATGGACAGAACAGAATAGGATGCAGTTCAACAAAGACAAGTGCAAAGTGCTGCACCTAGGGAGAAGGAATCACCAACACACTTACAGGCTTGGGGAGGACCTTCTCAGCAGCACAGCAGCAGAAAGGGATCTCAGGGTCATTGCTGACACCAAGATGAATATGAGTCACTGAATGTGACAAAGTGATCAGTAAAGCTAACCGCAGTTTATCATGCATTAGCAGGTGCATGATGAATGGGTCCAGGGGGATGACACTTCCCCTCTATACAGCATTGGTCAGGCCACAGTTGGAATACTGCATCCAGTTGTGGGCGCCATACTTCAAGAGGGACGTAGACAACCTTGAGAAGGTTCAGAGGAGGGCTACTGATATGGTTAGGGGCCTGCAGGCAAAGGTCTATGAGGAGAGATTGAGGGACCTGGATCTCTTCAGCTTCCTCAAGAGAAAGCTGAGGAAGAGGTGATCTTGGGGCTGCCTACAAATTCATTGCGGGGGGAGGAGGACAGCAAGGAATAGGAGATGCTTTGTTTACCAGGGCACCCTTTGGAGTAACTAGGAACAATGGCCACAAACTGACAGAGAACAGATTTAGGTTGGACATCAGAAATAACTTATTTATGGTATGGGTTGCTAAAATCTGGAATGGGCTTCCAAGGGAAGTGGTGCTCTCTCTTATCTTGGGGGTCTTTAAGAGGAAGCTAGACATGCACTTGGTTGGGGTCATGTAACCTCAGTGCTCTTTCCAGCCCATGGCAGGGGGCTGGACTCCATAATCTACTGAGGTTCCTTCCAACCCAAACATCTATGAATCAATAACATCCTATGTACAAGTTAGGCGTGAATCCTATTAAGTTGCCTTTGTGACCTTTTTATCACAAAATTTAGACATTCTTGTTAGTTAATACTCAGTCAATGTTGTGCTCATGTAACTAGGCAGTCCCCAAAATACATCTGGAGGGACATATTCTGTGAGGTACTAAGTACCCTTAACTCTCACAGATCTTTCAGAGGAAGTTAAAGTAACTGAGAACATTGAAAAAAACCACTCTGCTCCTTATAAAAATCGGGAGTTTAACATTTTCTTGGTTGTAGTTCTAGCATACTGTGGAATTGAAAGTCAGTTCTGAATACTCACCACAGAAGATCTAGTTGAAATGAAATATAATACAGCTATAAATTTGTCAGAACAATCCCTTCACTTTGCCAAACTTTTGGAAAAACAAAACCTAGGCCCAACCCTCAATAAAGCCCTCTCCAGAGTAACTGAGTGGAGTGAGGGTCACAACTGGTTTTAAGGCAAAAACTTAAGAGGAAACTTATGAGTGCTGACAGGTCCCTGCTCTAACTCATGGTGCTTTGCATAAAGCATCATGAACAACATAGCCCTGCCCCCCACCAGACATTTGCCTGTTGGGTTGCGAGGGAGGGGGAAATCAAGCTTGGCTGTGGGAGTGGGGGAGAGCTTCAATCCACTCTCCCCACCCTGCCCCAGCTCAGGCTGGGCAAACCCCAGGCCACAGATTACTCTCCCTCCCTTCTCCCCGCTACCTTGCAGCAGACAACCCCGGGGGCTGGGCTAGGCTCCATCAGCCCAGCCCTGATTGTCAACAGGGAACTTGTGTTACCTAAGCTTAATCTAAGGTGCTTCAAAGTGGAGCATCTTCATCTGATCCCTCATCTGATATGGTTTAATTTGTCACACAATCGGCCAGTTTTAAAGCACTATACAGCCATGCACATGCATCACAACATGGATGTAGAGCACTTTCAGGGGGCTGATCAATTGACAAATGTAACTTCTGTCCACACCCTATGAGTTGGGTTTTGGTAGCTGTTAACTGACATCTACCTTCATCAACTGAATTGTTTAAGATTAGTGACAGCCCCCCCCCAAAAGCACACGTTTTTGCCTATCCCCCAAATCATCTTGTAAAAATGGAACAATTTTATCTGGAGAACTTCCTAGACACCATCCTAAAAATTGTACCTGCCAACCATTACATACAGTATTGGGGCCCCCGCTACAGAAAGAACATGGACAAGATTATCAAAGAGGCCATCTTTAACAGACTGGCTGACGGCAATATCCTAAGGGATACCCAGCATGGGTTTGTTGCGGGTAGGTCTTGCTTGATCAACCCCATTTCCTTTTATGACCAGGTGACACATCACCTGGACAAGGGGCTGAGGAGAACCTGATGGTGTTTAACACCGAAAAATGCAAGGTTCTCCACCTTGGGAAGAAAACCTGCAGCATGCTTCGAGGTTTTTAAGACATGGCTAGACAAAGCCTTGGTGGGAATAAGATAGTTGGGGATGACACTGCTTTGAGCAGGGGGGTGGACTAGATAACCTCCTGAGGACCCTTCCAAACCTAATTCTCTATGATTCTGTGATTTTATATCTTTGAAGCCCTGATCCCGATTCAAATCATAACCCAAACTTTGTGATTGGGACAGCATCTAATATGTGCTGGATCCAAACATACTAAAACGCTAGGGAATTTCATGTCAGAATCTGGAGCTTAACTTTGTAACTGAGTTTTGTTTGTTCAAGATATAGGAATCCATCTTAGTTTCCACGCAGCTTCGCTGTAGTATCTGGGCACTTTCCATGTAAGTAGTTTAGTAATAATAAAGTTCCCAGCAGATTTCAAGTTTCTGGCTCTTCTACCCTTCTTTTGGGTAGTGAAGGATCTGTTTGAAGATAAAAGTCATTTCCCTACCCCACAAAGGGAGGGAAGAGATTATGGAACTGGCATTCTGGTTATGCTAGAAAAGCTTAAAGTTCTAATAAACTAAGAGTTTGTAAACTGTTCTATTTAGAGACAGGAGCATAAGAAAGCTAAAGTAGTTATAAATTTTATTTCAAAATATTATCTTTTTGCCCATTTCAGTTTTGCTCATCCATGTATCTTTTGAGCTGCTTTTTCAGAATAGTACCTCTCCAGTCTAATGCTTCCAGCATCACTAGCTCTGATGTCATTAGAACAACAGTGTCAGGAGGTGAACAAAGCAGTTTTACTGGCAGCAAGGGCCAGAAGTAGTATGTGCTGCACGGTAATTGAAAAAGATGGCATTTAGGTGGTGATGGGTCACTGAACAAATACCAACGTGCCCAGTGAAAGAATGGTGCCAACTCAGGGTAGTTGAACAGGTCTGGGAAAATTCCATTAGACCACAGTTGCACAAGTTCCTGTTTCAGGTTAATAACTGAACACGTAGCATACTGGCTTACTCAGTAAAATAAGCCCTAATGCAGCCACAAGGGTTTAAAATTGGTAACAGATTGTTAAAATAGCTATTTTTAAAAATAAAGTGAAATATATATTTAAGGGAAAGAAAGGCAATGGCTGGCAGATACAATTCTTAGGGTTCTGGATAGAATTCCTCCACATAAAATTCTTGTATTATTACGAGACGATTTAGGGGATGGATAAAGCAAAATAAATGCATGATGGGTTCCTGAGCCATCCTGATGATATGGGGCAGAATGGCTCAGAAAATTCAGAGTGGTATGTGTGGTATAGTGTATTTCACCCCACTAAAGTGCCCAGTGTACACAACAGAGTTTGTGCAGAAGGGACTTGGTTAGATCAGTCCAGCAGACAATATATGGTTAGGCCTGTGAAGCATCAGCCCCTGAATTAGCCAGAACCACTCTTTCATATAAGAATAACTTTGTTGCTGGGCTGGTAGATTGAGAGGAGGAAAGTCTCTGCTCTTTGCTTCCTACCCCCAGTATCATCCCAGTGCGTCTCAAGTACAATGCTAGGTATAAATGGGATGGGTAATATTTAGTAACCTGTAGCACTGAAGACCACTTAGGACAGTATTCAGAAATTTGGAAATACTTGCACAACAGGATAAAAATAAAAGTGCTGTTGTAAACAGGTTTTCTCCAATTGTGATGTTTAAGTGATGCTATCCTGACCTTGTCAGCAAAGGTTATTTCTAGCATTACTGGAAAACCTCTCATCATGCTCAGTTCAGGGAAACTGTTTTGCACAGCTGTGATCCATACCCAATTTGTCTACAATTGCTACTTTGGGGTCATCATGAAAAACAATGCTTGCAACACCCATGTCCAGTTCTGATGATGGTCCATTAAAAAGTTTAATTTTATAAGTTTTCCCCAAAGATTTCAAAGTCTGAATTTTTTATAACAATGTTAGTAGGCACCTGAGATGGGTCTAACCTAAAGCTATGGATCTGAACATTGCCAGGCCTTGGATTCAGATGCTGACCAGCACTTACAAAATGCCAGAGATCCTAAACCAGGATAGGCATTAAGGATATTCAGCTTTGCAGTAGGCACTCAGCATCTTGCAATTCAGGGGGCTCAGTGAATTATCATGGATTTACAGTTCACTTTTAGGCAAGGATTTTTTCTGAAAACAGCTAAATAGCCAGATATCTTTGCTTACCTGTTGTAATTTTGCATTCCTGTTTTAAAAGGCAAAAACAAAAAAACCCTCAAAATTCCCTTAAAAAAAATTGAGGGATTCCCTTTAAGAAAAAGCCCTTTTTTTTGTAAGTCACATTAGGATTTTTAGGGATAAAAGGTACTACAATAAGTTTAAAACTTCAGATTTAGAATCTGCATATCACTCAGTTATCAAAAGTTTTCTTATCTGGAAAGCAGGGTTAGAAATCCATATGCACATTTGAGATGGATAAAGAGAGTTCTACATATCTTGATGTTTTATTATTTTCACTTAGTCATGTTTGATCTAAGGGGAATCTGACAAAATAGAAGGGTACAGCCATGGGTTAATCTAGGCTTTTGACATGGGGGGGAGGTTCAGATGGTGAACTGCAGAGTGACATATAAAACAACACATTTTTGCCAGT